AATGACCTAAAAAGGTCAGATAACCGTGGAGGAGTTGACAGCACCCCTTCATAAATTATCGGTCCTCTCACCTCCCCCAGGTTAACCCCAAGGGTACCAAAATTAACATGGCAAAGCATTCCGAATCTATGGCCAGCAGATATCGGACCAACCGACAGATCTCTTAATATTAAATCTAGGTCGTCTGCACCCGCGTTTTTTAGTACCATTTGCCTACTAGGTATCCAATTTATTGCATGGGAGCCGGGTTTGGATAGTGTTACGCCGACACCTTGTACGGAGTGCTGTGCCGGATCAACCCTTCTCAGGATGCTGGGCTGTCATTTACACGGATGTATCCTTCAGCGATGCTCGTCGCCCGCTTCATACAAAACGAAGTTGGCAAGGAACAGCGAGGGTTCGGCCCCCAACCGGCGCGCAGTCATTCTTTACTCAGATGTATTACTCCTTCAGATCCTCTTCCAACCGCAGAAGCCCCAAATATCGTCTCTTATTGCTCAGCACCTAAACTTGCAATAACGTTTCAGCACTGTCCATTGAGACAGCACTTTCTAATATTCAAAGACTAAACAAATATTCGATGAATGAAGCTGTAGTCAGGTACAATGAGCAGAAAATCATTTGAGAACGTTACTTCGTGGTAAGCGGATCTTGTAGAACGGTTCCGGGTCTGTGGTGCATCCCGATACAATCTATTCGCCCACGCACCTACCGTGCCTGTGGTAAGCCTGACTGGTGGCCGGGTGCTGATTAAATCCGTGGAGAAGCGTGTTATACGTCCCTGGACTGGAGTGTAGACCCAACACCCAACATCAGTGGGGAAATGGGATAGGTCCGGTCCTTTTTATTCAGTTACGCGTCATGGTGGTCACAAAAGTCTTTTCAGTTTAACTGTATATAACACTGAAGACAGTGAATGCCCGTCTGAAGGTCTTCTTTTGCAAACTGTAGACTGGCTTGCCTGTGTGAGCAACGCGGCTGTTGATAAGACAGGTTGATTGTCAGTGATTCTCGGCTTCATGGTCACCTGTGAGTGAGTATTAAATGTTATGCGAAAAGCGCTAATGAAAATGGGATGACTACAGAAAAGAGGGAAGACGAAACGTGTTTATGGGGACTAAGTACTACTAGTAATAATATGGAAAGGGTCTGGTTCGTTATGTAGGTGCTGCGGTGGCGTGACAGAGGGGTGAGTTAGCACACGCTCAATAGTCACTAAAATATGAATATGGCGAGCCGTACGTGCCCGAGATTTTATCGAACATCCGTTTTTAGGGGTCAGCTGTGGTGCATGTGGCCACCTTTTTCTGCACCATGTCTCACCGCAGACATAACATTAGAGTTTGATGTAGCTGTCGTCATATTTCTCCAGTGGGTTATATGTTTGGAATTCCCTCAAGACTATCGATCATGGACAGATGATATTTGTCTACTAGGGTTGTTTACTTGATGAATAACCTTGTGGGCTGTTATCAGGCCACCTCCTTTCCTTCGACAGCTTAGAGTGAATAAGCCAAGTTGTTTGAGATGTCGTGCACATGCTTCATCTGTTAGTCCGAAGACCAATCTTCTCTCTTTTCTCTGTGTCTCCTCGATAGTGTTTGCTCCTCGCCCTGGCCGGTGAGGTTACACAATGTTGAACACCTATAGATGCAATCGAATATAAGTTTGAAAGGTCAGGTGGAATGGATCACGGACTAAGGCCCCAAGGTGTCCTCTTGAAAAGTGCATGGTCGCTTTCGCCTTTGCCGTCGCTCCCTTGTGGTTGGGGCCCAAACACAAAGTGTCAGAGAAGTTTAGCCGTAGGTCACCTTAGTGACCAAACAGCTGCTGGGGTGTAGCTATATTTCATCTGTTCTAGTGTTCCAAGATACATCCTACAATTTCCCAGGTTGAGTCTCAAACCATTCTCATCTGAGGGGGTTCCGACAGAAGTACATCGTCCTGAGGTGTCCTAAGATCTTCCCTACCTATCGTTCCCCACATTTTGGAGTCATGGGCGAGAATGATTTCGGATAGGTAAATTTGATCGGAAGGTCGTCTGTGAATAGAAAACTAGAGATGGTTCAAAGATCTTTCCTTTAAAACCTTCAGTCCTTGACCTTCTTCGAGTTGACCGAATACAGTTTACCTTGATGCAGAATTCTCCTTTCTCTGGATATGCTGTAAACCGTCCTATGAGCTGTTCCGTGATCCCCAAATTTGTGAGCTAAGCAAGCATGTAATCGCGAAGGATGTTGTCGAAAGAGCCGGCAAATAATAACAAATATAACAAGTTAACACCTGGTCCAATATCCTCTAATCTTTCTATTTCGTAGTGATATCTTCAGCTTCAGACTGATTTCCATTACTGTCGTACGCACCTTCATCTTCTTCCATCTAAGCTTACCTCTAAACAGTTGGTTCTGGACACTTACTCAAGTAAGTTTAACAGTCAGTACAAACTCACCCAGATGCATCATGGTTGATCTACTCCTGCGTATTTTTGTGCTCCTGTTTCGAATTTCACCTGCTGCTCGCTTTTGTTGTTCACTTTTCAGATTTACCTAACCAGTCCTGCATTCAAATGGAATCCTACAAATCGCATTCGTCAGTGGGAAATATTGCCATCAAAACGTTGTGACGAACGCGCACACCTCAAGGTCATGACTGTGATGCGGCCTCACCTTCAAGAATATTGGATGATACAAACGATGACCGGATAATCTTCAAATTCGAACTGAGCCTGCTTCAACACACCTCCTATATGCCATAAATCACAGCATCTAATGTATAGCATAACATTGTACATAATAGTCATCTCTCATTACCAAACTGATGAAACCTGTAAACTAGTTTGTATTCATGTAACCTTTGTTGTATGAAATATATTGTTATTATTACTAAATTCCAGAAATATAAAGTGACCCGGTTGCTTGTTGCCGTTTATATTGGTCCACCCATCCCAAACGATCACTAAGTATGCGGGAAGTGACTACCTAGTTCTGAAGCCTAGTTGGGTGGACGGAGTGTGTCGCTTCTGCCACGGATATTTCAAGCAGCAATGTGAGTATCGATTCCACTACCTAGGATAGCACAGACAGTGAACATGTCACTCTGCAACTGTGTTTTTTCCGGTTTCCTAACGTGAAGGTTGGCGACAGGATGGCGCATTTCCATTCTTTGGGGAGCTGACTTGCTTCCAGCAGGTCTGTAAACAGGTCGCATGTGTGGACGTCAAATACCTCCACACAATCTCTTGGGTCCTCCAGCTTTTTGTCATCACAGCCCGGGGACTCCCCTGCTTGGAAGCGCAGACAACCTCGCACCAACTTTGTTCGGAGAAATGGTTACGTGCCTCAGTTCTTCGTCACGGTCCTGGAACTCTGCTAGAAGTTAGCGGCGGATAGATTACTGTCTTGAGCTGCTTGTAACACTTTTCAAGAACACTCCTAATAGTATCTTTTATACGTATCCACTGTCCGCTTATTGTGAGACGGTTTCAGTCTTCAGATCATGGTGGGTTCTCTGGGTCTCATATTTGACTTCACGGTGGTAAGGAAAGGTATTCAATTTCCCTGCCTGCACATCCCCGTAGTTATCATGGATGATGTTACCACTGTACTATGGCTGTCACAAAAGAGTCACTGAACACATATGGTCTAAACAACTGAAGAATCTAATAGTACGTCTGCCTTCCGTCTAGAAGTGGATGAACGGTGGTAACTGTGGGGTAATGATCTTACGAGACTAGCCAAGACTGTGTTGATGACCACTTTCTGTGGCCAGGTGTACCAGTAGAAGACCTGCATACCACCTCGTGGGGGTTTTGGGTTTGTTCTGGCGTGAACTTGACAGACGCAAAGACCAATCACTAATTGTTCGGACTTGCTTTATACCCACGAATACGCGACCAAGGGAGAACATGATAGCGTAGTCGGATGGAACAGTATTTTTGGGTGGTTGTACCAAGATACCGATGCGCTCAAACTAACTGGCTAGAGAGTCGAATACGAGCAGTGCAACGTAACACGACAGCGTGCAAAATGGCGAGGATGCTTGACTGGGTGCCTTCAGCTTAGTGGGTCCAGTTAAACTATCAAGGTCAGCATCAACGTTGAATGTCGTCGAACCCTAGGCTATTGATTTTGGGGAAGCGTGTGACGCTACAAGAGTCTCAACGCTCAACGCCGCGTGAATCAGCGCCAAAAATAGTCCGGAAGCTAGGTGGAGGCCTCCTTGTTCACCACCCTTGCCTTAAAATGGCAGCTCACGTGGGGGGCAGTTATGCACATTGGTCACGGGTAGTATTACTCTTACTCACCAGGTGGGTCGGTCCTGCCATGTGTTAGGAAACAAAAAGACCGGGAGGTTTTTATCAACCATAACTTGAAAACAGCATCGTTCCGTATCACGGCCACAGTCAAGGCATTCTGCATGCTGCTGTCAATCTGTGGGGCTTTGACAAGGAAATAATTAGGGTAATTTGCCTTACTTCTGGTAGACGTCATCCTGAATACCGAGAAGGGGCAATTGGTTCTTGCTTCGGGCAGAAAGCAGACACTGTGGAACGGCCAAAAGTGGTGAGTAAGGATGTAGAGACAGAACTCTTGCATCTTTCCTGTGAAAACTGGTTGAAAAGTTTCAATGTTTTCATACAACCGTGTCGTAGAAAAAGGGGAGTTCTTATATTAGCATATCTTATCGTGAATTACGAATCAAGTGCTGATCTCTTCACTCTTTTCACTCCTTCTAGGACCGATTATCTAGAAAGCCACAGTGACATTTTCAAAAGGTAAGGTCGATTAAACGACTAGAGGAATTGAGATTTTCTCATAGGGTGGTCATCGATTAGAATTTAATACCGAAAATTGTGGTAACTACTCCCTCAGTGAACGCTTTCAGGGAGTAACCGAACTTCTTTTGATGTTAATGCTATCAGGGTTGATGCAGCATACTCAGAATACTATTCTTGTTCATATAAACTGAGAAAGCTGATATTGGATATCGGATGACCTTGCGAGGTTAACTCCAATTCCGCGCGAGATTCACGCGAAATGTCCTCCCTTCTGGATTCGGAAGCATCGGAAGCGTCTGAGCTCTCTGACTTGGATGAGGATGAGGTGGTGAAGAAAAAGGTAGCCAAGCAACCTGCCCTCGATGATCCAGATTCGAGTGATAGTGAGGAAGAAGAGGAGCTAGCCAATGAGGAAGAAATCTGTCGAAAAGAAGGGGAGGGTTGGATTGTGGATGAGGAAGAGGATGAAGGGGGTGTATCTGAAGGTTCTGATGCAGATGATGCTGAAGATGTTGGGGATGAGGGAGATAAGGATGATGATGATGATGCCTTAGATGACGATGATTTTCAACTGATCCAAGAGAACGTAGGGATTAATTTAAAGAAACAAGTATGTTTTATCTAACTTTTCATGTTTGAGTGTATCATATTGGCTATGTTATGCATTACTTTTCAGAATAAATCTCATAAGTTAAAAGAGTATCTTTCCATAGGAGTCAACCATTGCTATTTTGGCTTATTCGACTGAATAATGTAACGTGGATTCAATGTCAAACACTTAAAACCCTACCTCACTTACGTTGATGATCGGGGACTTGTTAGTGAATTACACTTTGGATGTAGTTTTCGTACTAGGTTTTATAAAAGCAAGTTTAGTCGGTGGCGATTCTCGTCTTGATCCCACCATACACGAATAATACTGGGAAAGCATTTGTAGCTGACATAGTCCTGGTAGATAAATACAGCTACATAAGGTAATATTTTGAACAGCTTGGGTAGAAATTTGAGTGGGTTTTTTACTGTGGGTACGTACCGAACATTGTTTAGCTCCGGAATTTTCCTCATGAACAACACCAAGAACTTTTCTTTACTGAGGAACATCGCCAACATGAAGACTAGTATTACTATATGACGGTTCAGTGAAAATGTATCACAGTGCATTGACAGAGACGGTAGTAAGAAAGATAAAAATAATGTTAAGTTGTGAAAAAAACGAACATGTGATGTTACTATTCAGGGAAGTTCAAAAGATGAATGTATCTGTGACGTTAGGATAGGTTCTATGCCAAATCACGTAGTCTTTACCACTAACTAAGAAGCGCTTGTCGTGAATGAGTCAGTCAGCAGTTAAACTATAGCGGCTTGGCAAGCATAACACGCGACCACTCTTTATGGGAAATGAAAGCTGATTAAGGAAAATTCGTGCGTGATTTCTATGTTGCCCACTCAATCGTCCCACCACTACTGCTCAGTACACTTCTACTAGTTGGCGATCGGATATCTCGCTGGCGTCATGTGCCGTTAATGCTTTGAACCGTTTTATTCACTTTTGTCAGACATGATACCAATATAAGCCAGGCCTGAAGTAAAAATATTCATGTAGAAGGTAAAGGACACATCTCCGGCATTCCCAAGTTGTCATTCAACGTGTACAAAAGACTCTACACCTCAGCATCGTCCTTTAACAGGACTATATTATCTGCGTAGTACTAGTCGACTAAGGCGTCTCCTGTTCGGGGACCAATAACTGTAAAGTCATACAAAAACAGGGTTCAACAAACTGTATTCTGCTAGTGTCTTAAACTAACAAGAATACCTCGCTTGCAAACTCTGGGTAAACGATATCAATTTCCGATGATATCAGCCTTACCAAGAGTAAGAGACTCTATGATAATATCTAGAACAGGTTGTGACTGGACAGTAGGCGAACAGAGAGTAGCCACAGACCAGTTGAACTGTTGCTTAAGGTACTCTGGTCATCGTCCCAACCTTCTCCAATGAGAGTCGATCGTGGACCACTTATCCTTAATGTGAATTGGTGACCATAAGTATTTTCATCTCCCATTTTCCCGAAGAAGTTTATTAAGCCTTCTGGCATTGTGTATCATTCCATTTTCAATCATGACAACCTTCTCAGCTCGCCGACGCTCGCAGTCACTGAAATTTTCTTGCAAGTTTAAGTTCAAGTCTGTTAACTGTGTATGAATATTTATGTTTATCTAGCGATTCTGTGAACTTGCCAGAATCCATCAACCTTTACTAATATGTTTCCATGCAAATTTGCACTCCTAAAAGTCCCTGGGGAATAGCAATAGGAGTCATTTTGATTAGTAACGCTATGTTTTGCTGACTGTTCACACATTTCTATAAACAAAATTGATAACTTTTTCTAGTTAAACTCATAAGAGGCTTTCCGTTATAATTCTTTTGTAATTAATGAGGCACAGACATAATCAGGTCAGTACGTTCTTTAGAGAAACCATTCTTTCAACAAAGGCAGGATGTAATCCATCTGCAGCAACCTTTAAGTAGACGTTATTATTTTTCAAGTTGAACAATATCTCTGTTTATATCTCAGTTGAGTTAGGCGTTTATCTGAAAATAGCTTTGGCAAGCTGTTACCACTTTCAATTCTGTGAGCGAGGATTCCTGAGGTACTGCTGCTGAACTTCAAGCTATTTTATAGTTTGTCGTAAAGTGGATTGCTTTTAGTTTTAACTTTCCAACAAATCTTCGGAGTTCATTAATCCCCTAAGATGTTAGCCAGTCTTGGATGAGTCACTACGGTAGACAGTTTTAATTAGCATACTATGATCCCACTTGCAGTTACGTTTGCACGATCATCAACAGTATTAAATGCTAAAAGCTGAAATATTGATGAAGACATTACGTTTTGTTAATAGTCAGTTCTTTTCATAGTTTTAATGCCAGTCATCATGGCTTGACTTTTCAAAATTTATTCATTTATGTTTATCCTTTCTGGTTTACTCCGTTATTCAGAACGAACATTTAAATTGAATCAACTAGTGGATCTGTGTTTCACTTATATGAACTACTATCAAGATTTGACCGAATAGTTTCGCAAATATTGGCCACTAAGTAAAAGATTGACATTAGGTATGGTTCATATTAGTCTAAATCACGATGTCTGAAATAAAATTACTCCATTTCTCGCGGGTCTGGTTCGAGCTTCAGTACTTAGTTTCCAGCCAACCTGTCGTGACTTCCACCCCGCTTATTAGTGTTATTGTCTCACTAGAAGTAGGGAGACCTTTTACACAGCTCGTTGAGTTGCATTCTTTGTTCTTGCATCCTTCGGATTTGTTTTTCCGAATTAGATTGTTTATTTGATATAGCACACAATGATACATTATTACTTACTGTGTAATTATGTGCCATATCAAATAAAGTCTAATATGGAATTATACTCTACCTCAGTGCCCAAGTTTTGCTGTTACAGTTATGGATGTTGACTGGTGATCAATGTGGCATATCGATTTTCAAGGGATGGTTTAAGTTTAGAATCACTATCTACTTCAGTAGTATCATTAGGCGTCACCCAAACGTAGTTCATAGCCTACTCAAGCTTCTGTGCTGAGTCAGGTTGCCCTATTATATATTTGACGGGTCTCCTTGGAATGGTATTCACAGGCAATATCTTATTAAAATCACTTATGAAGATTAAATATACAATAACCTCAATCCTTTCATCTGGTTTGGGTTATATAATCTTCATAATTTAGAAATTGCGAAACCATATTCCTGCAAGTATAAAGATTTATGAGTTAACCATCACCAACATAACAATATCCACTACATAAGTTTTTGTTAACCAACCATTGCTACTAGTTGATAACAAACCTTACATTCTCATTGATTTCACACCTGATATTTAGAAAAAGAGGCGTTTGGTGCTTGATGACGATGATGATGAGGCAGATGAAGACGAAGTCGCATCCAAAAAGACAGCTTACGAAGAAGATAGGGGCAGAGAAGCAATCGCACGTCAAATCTTCGAAGATGAAGACGAAGAAGTAGATGAAGATGCAGTTGTTCGTAGTAGGCCCGCAGATTTCGGTGTCTCAGTTGGTGATGAAGAAGAAGAGGATGAAGAAGACGATGGTAATTATCATTCCAAAAGATATATAGTAATTTTAATTGGTTTGAACTTTTTGCAAGGATTTCTGTGTGTATACTAAACAAGTTTAGTGGCATTTTTTACGCTTTGGTGCTATAGATATGTTTAGTGCATAAAAGCTAAGATAAGCATTTAGAGTAAGTGGCATAAGATAGGTGGCACATATTAACAGAGTATATTCGATTTTTATCCACACTGATAAACTGAATAGTGGCATAGACGTAGAGCAATGAAGTTGTAACCCCGACAAAAATAAGGTGTAAGCTCCTTGAAATGAGATTAAATTAAGAAGGTAAATGTTTGATTTATAAAAGGTCATAAATGGGATATAACTATCGCTTTAGACACAGCTTTGTATTTATTTGACTACCTGAGGTCATTGGTTTTTCGAAAATTTGTGGGCCGCATCTCTGGTATCCTATATTTTTATTTGATTGTGACTGTTCTAGGAGCTGTGGCTCACTGTATTAGACAGTTGACTTTGAGCCAGTTAGTCACAGGTTCGAACCCCTTTCACCTAACAGGGTTGTGCAACCAGGTAGTATTACTAGCTTTCACACAAGAGGTGTTGCTCATTGCCAGATGCCTGAATATGCACCTAGTTGCTGAGAGTTAAGTTTGTTTTCTAGTATTTTTGATGTGATTCTCTTCGGTCTTTTCACATACAATTACCCTCCGGTTAACAATAATAATAAATATTTGTAACTAATAGCATGCGGAATATCTTAAGGACATCCTGTGGAGATTAGTCATTTAATCGCATGACATTCTTTATTACTTGTCAACAACAAAAAGCCAGAGCACTTCAAAGAATTGATTACGAAGTAATCAGCGCATGATGTAACCTTTTGAATGTCATGCGGACAAGGGTAACTTTCTGGTTGTGGCACTATATTATGTGAAGGAGCACTATTCGGAATGTGCTAGATATATTTCTCCATCTCTTTTCCGTGAACGCTATTTTCTTTCAGCGTTTATTGGCTCACTTTTATCTCCTGAAAGATTACATATTCATTTTGGGTTCTCGTTTGTACAAACTGAAGTAACCCAGGTGAAAAAGTCTTAGCTGACATTGAGATGAAATAGGAATAAATGAAGTGACCAGTGCACCTATAACTGTTTCGTCCCTTTTAATTTTAAAGCTGTTCTAACTTTTTGATATGATACTCAACTAATGGGCTGCTTGTTCCAATCTCCAGTTATGTTTGGTTTCGACAGGCAGGTGGTACTAATAGTTTTTAGGCGATGCATTCAACTCATGGGATGCGTTAACAACTTGTAAACGATTGTACTTTCTGAAATTTATTTGTATCGTCCTTCTGATTACTTCACTTAGCTGGTGTCCATAACGAATAATTTATCTGTACTGTCAATATTTTTGGGCATCTGGTACAGTTCTGTTGGATGTATTTTTCAGTCATTATGTTTCCTCAGAACAGCATATTTTATTTGCTTTATGAACTTACTAAAAGGATTAAAGCAAAAATTGCTTTCAGTGCTTTTGATGGCTATTAGCAAATTGTAAATTTATCTATACCATCTTCTTTTATCCTGTTACTTCTAATGTAGATATGGGTGATTTCATTGTGGATGACAGGACAGGTGCTCCACCTACAAGGCCTTCTAAACGTATAGTACATAAAGATGCAGCTCTCCAACAAGCTCAGAATATCTTTGGTGTTGACTTTGATTTATCAGAGTTCGAAGCATTCCGAAAATCCCGTACTGGCGATGACTATAGTGATGAGTCCGAATATGAATATTCTGATGAAGAAGAGGGTTCTAAGGTTAGGCGACCGAAACACCGTCGACCACCCTCAAACCTTGTTATGGATGATCGTGTTTATGAACTTTTTGATCCAAGTGATCTTGAAAGGGCTTACTATAGTCAAGCAGATGAGCGTATTCGTAAAACTGATGTACCAGAGCGCTTTCAGCTTCGTCAGATTCCTGTGAAGTATATTGATTCTTGTTCAGCATCATATGCTGAAGACCTTCGAGAGCTTTCAGATGAAGCAGAATGGATATATCGTCATGCTTTTAAAGAAGATGCAGACTACAAGGTAACTGTCAACTTATCTAACTTACATTACTGATAGCCCCCCTCGGTGATACCTAGAATTCTCGAGTCCTTAAAACTTTTAAGGGAGTTTTTGTTTGAGGTCCCATTCATCGCATTCTATCGAAAGGAGTGTATAGAGAAAGATCTGAATATCAAAGACCTTTGGAGAATATACCAAATGGATGAAAAGTGGACCATTTTGCATCAACGCAAAAGAAATATGATTAACCTTCTCCAACGATTGTCAGATTATTTTGAGGCGATTACTACAGGAGATGCAGTTAGTCCTTTGAAGAAAAATTGTTCTTCAATTCTGAAGTTAATCGCATGGTTTGTTGTTCATCGCTTATTATCCCATTTTTCAGTGCTCGCAGTGCAGACTCTTTAGAAGAGTTGTATGATGTACGGCTGAGTTATTTACTTCACTTTTCTGGATTTGTTGAGCCAATGAATCGTTGGTACACATGTCAGAAAAACAAGGTATGTTAAAGAAACGGCACTCACTTCTTAAAAAAATTATCGTCGCAGTGTCTTCATACTCGTTTTTAATTTTTTAGACTGGTGAAACAGAACAGTTAGAAGAACATGAAACTGATGACATTAACATTGAAAAAGCTGTTCCGATTACAACGACCATCGATCCGTTGACTGGACGGTCCATTCGTCAGCGTCAGGCTCGTGCAACTGCTTCGTATGAGGTTGCTAAACGAGCTGGCCTGAGCGATCTTGTGCAGAGATTCGGACTTTCAGCATCACAATTTGCTGAAAACGTTCAGGATCAATATCTGCGCCATGATGTAGACCAGTGTCCTATGTTACCTTTGGATGCAGCTGGTGACTTTTTGTCTCCGCAGTTTCCTAGTTCAGAGTCAGCATTGGCCGCAGCCCGTTATATGCTTGCATTTGAAATTTCACGTGAGCCATTTGTCAGGAAAATGATGCGTCAAATGTTTCATATGCAAGCCGTGATCAGTATGCATCCTACTGAAAGAGGAATGAAGCACATAGATGAGTCTCATCCTCTTTTCCCCATTAAATACCTTTCTAACAAACCAGTTGCTGATCTAATGGGTAATGTGCTTTTTCTCCACATGTACAACGTAAGTGCATTTTACTTAAACGTTTTGTCTGCATTACCTTCTGCTAACTTTGTAAATGATTACTTCTAACATATTTTGTAATTCGTATTCATGCTAAACATGACGAAATCACCATCGTGATATACTTGGGATATCCAAGCTTTACAGGAGTATAATCACCCGTAATTTTCAATTCGTATTCCCACTGACAGCAGATTTAAAAAAGGAACCTACCTTCGCTTATTTATATTACTTTGCATGCAGTCATTCTGCTCAGGGCTTCACTATGTTTCGTCACGTTTCAGTGAACCATTTTATGTGTAAGCCGTCCGCTATGGAATACGCTAACGTTCTTTTGATGCCACTGAATCGGATGTGTCGTATATTACATAGTTCCCCATAAGAGTGTTGTTTAGTGTGAATCAATAATAAGGGGAACAGTTCTGTTTAATTTCTCATTATAACTATGAATACGAACTCGGTAGAACATGAATAAGTACCGATCCAAAACAAGCGATGGGAATTATAGCATTTGACATTGATGCTCATAATTCTAGACAGTATTACCGATCCCCTAATCTCTGACATCATTGCAGGTACTTCATTACTTGTTAAGGGATACCAATTAAGCTTAGTTTTTGCTTACTAATTACGTGCTGCCTTCACTTTTCCTATGTACTTTTTGTAATAGATAAGTGTATTTATTCACACTAACAAAACAGTATTCCATACAAGTATAGTAGTCACGAATTCCAATTTCGATGAATTACTCAGGTACGGTAATAAATTTGTGATTGAGTGCTATAAATATACTACTCTCAATTATCCGACACGTAATTCGATATCTGCTCCAGTTGGGTTAAAGCCAAGTAATCGGGTAGTATCACTAAAATTCACAGGTAGTGGTTCAACCTGCATTTATATTGTTGTCATAGTTTCATTACATACTACCAAAGTCAAAAGGAAATTAGCATTTCAGTCGCTACCTCTTTTTAAATATTGCTTAGTCACTCAGGGACTTCGACTTACTTGGAGGAGTCATCCTCTATCAAGTCAGACAATCAGCCTAACTTTGAGAACTGTAGCCTTCCACAAAACAGTAGTTTTCATTACGGATAGAAACCAGCTGGAAAAATATCGAAAAAAGACAGGAGCTCTGGACAGCTGTCTCTTTCTAGTTTGAGATGCAGCAGTGAGTATTTAAGACTAAATTGAGTGGTCGAATCCTTGACCGTAAGTTCTCACAGCGTGTGCGTTACCATTCAGCCATTGGTTGAAATCCATTGATGCAGTAATTCTTACTTTTGCCAGCTCTGAGCGATCAATTTCGAAGGAAATCAATATTGAGGACTTGATGGGAGTTGAGTCGTTGATTTGTGGGGATTTGTTGACCGAAAGAAGTATTCCGTTATCCACTATTATTGGATACAGCTCGGGTGATGACTAGAACGCCGTAAGGAACAGTTCAACTGGTCTGTGGCTACTCTCTGTTCGCCTACTGTCCAGTCACAACCTGTTCTAGATATTATCATAGAGTCTCTTACTCTTGGTAAGGCTGATATCATCGGAAATTGATATCGTTTACCCAGAGTTTGCAAGCGAGGTATTCTTGTTAGTTTAAGACACTAGCAGAATACAGTTTGTTGAACCCTGTTTTTGTATGACTTTACAGTTATTGGTCCCCGAACAGGAGACGCCTTAGTCGACTAGTACTACGCAGATAATATAGTCCTGTTAAAGGACGATGCTGAGGTGTAGAGTCTTTTGTACACGTTGAATGACAACTTGGGAATGCCGGAGATGTGTCCTTTACCTTCTACATGAATATTTTTACTTCAGGCCTGGCTTATATTGGTATCATGTCTGACAATAACGGATGAAATGGCTTAAATCGTTGATTCTTACACTTTCCTTGACAGTCGTACCAACCGTGATGGGTTTTTAAGTAACCAAGATAATCTCAGCATGAAGGTAAAAGGCTCGAGTAACTTTTTTCAAATAACTCCACTTATAGTGCCAGCAAGATATCCTACTGTCAAGAAGGGGAAGTGTACTGCGTAGTGTGAAACCACTAGAAAAAATCGACGTAGAGCATTGCACAGAAGTGCATTGGTTGAAGTTACCACAATTCACAGTAGTAAGCGGAAGGTGAGTCGGTAGAAAAAGTGATATGGCGTTAGACCATACTGCTACATGGGAGGAGAAAGAAATTAAAAAATGAAGGTGATAGAGTCAAAGTTCGAATGCATATATTTCATTGCAACTGATTCTCAGCCATGTCACCAAGGCTGTCTAATCATTGGTTCTTATCGTCCGGGGACCCCAAGCAGGCAATCTGCTCCTTCCTATATGACTCAAACAAAGAGACTTCAAGGACTGTTGTCACGTCTTTTAGAGACTATCACTGTTCTTTGGTGTGGGATACCGTATACACCTTCAACATACGTCTCTGATTGACTCAGTTTCACTACTTGAGCGTTGAGTTCTCCCGTTATTATGACTATGTGTGAACGGTTCGTTTTATATAGCAAAACTGACAGCCTTTGGCTGGGTTCATCTTTTGTATCATCAACTACAGTCAGTGGGTTTGTGTAGGTGGAGTTTATGAATAACCATCTTTTAATCTTATGACCCTTCCTAGTTACTGATCCATTCAGTGGGACAGCACACTGACGGCCGTTGACTGGTATCTACTTGAGAAGCATACTTCCTGTTCGAGAACTCAATGCTACACCAACAAGTTCATGAAAGCTAATGATTGATTGTCTGAGCACTCGTAAAGTGGATTTTAAAAATCCATCACGTTAATCGGGTAAGGCAAAGTGAATAACCGCACTTGAATCCTGTATACTTGTCTCGAAAGCGCAGCATACTTCCATTGTTCAAAATTCCAGAGTTTTGGCAAGATACATGTTGTCCAATTTAGTATAAGGTTTGGATGTTGAAAACTCCAATGTGAAATCGGTAGCGGAGTTCAAAGAGACTAATTATGGTGTTTCACTCCTTTTGATAGTTGGCAATGGTCGCAGGGTAAGAGGTTGGTGCCAGAAAGTAAAAACACGGGAGAAGGGAGGTAGGCTGTGGTTAGTTCGTTTTTGTATGTTACTGGAAGTGTGCGGGCTGTTGGTACTTCCTGGCTGCCCACACCATGAAGTTTTTTCCTCAGGGTACCTGGAAGAGAAAAAGGAATAGTTTTGCGTGAGTGCAGAACCCATGGGACATCTGGTTACGGGCCTTTTCAGGATTGATGAGTTGGGATTTCGTTGTTATAACGCCGGAAAAGAAAAATCCATGCGACGGATACCGGAATACCACAGGACGAGGAGTGTGGCCAACATTCTCTACTTCCCATTTTTCATAGGGAGAGGAGCTTCAGTATGGCGCTACCGATCATCCGCGGACAATACCTTACTGCTGTCATACCCCATCCACTCAGCAGTTCTACTTCGCCCTCTTACCTCATAATAGCGTAACAATTTGCACTATGACGGTAATTGCTTTTTGTCTTACCATTACCCAACAGACTTTTTTGGTATGGTTGGACTTCAAGGAACAAGCGTTCCAGCCAGTGTAGCTTGTTGGGTCATTGCTATATGGAAACCTGATCACCACATCAAGGTAGCGACTATTGGTTTGGTGGAACCATCAGGTGAACAAAATATAAATTAGGCAAGTATTGATTCCCTAAACAGTTGGGAGTACTTCGGGTCAAATCCTTCACTGCGTGGCTGGAAGTTAGATGGGAATAGTGAAAAGGTTGAAACAAAGGCTGTTGATAAGAGAGGCCTTGCTTAATTGTTGATATCTTCTCAGCGTCTTTTAAGTGGAAGGTAATTAGTCTTGAGTGGTAGCAAAACTTGGAAGGTGTTTGCTTGGAAGCTGTCATTTCATATCCATTTCAAGCATATTTTTATTTGTTAGGTTGCGATCGTACTAAAGGAACCTTATTGCCGGCATTAGGATTGTATAGCTCAAAGCAAAGTTCATGACTTTTCAGGCCACTTTTCTAACCGCTTCATCCGAGACTGGGTGGGTATCACATCCCCTCACCTTAGGGGGTAGCTTCTCGCTGCCATCACAGTATGATTTCTCTTCCATACTCGCACCATAGTGTGGGTTACTTATACTTACGGTGATTGGATTCATTCTTTGTAGTATCTCAGAGAACAACCGTTCCAGTCACTTCACATATTTGGCTCATTGTAATATGCCAGCCATTCCACTGTAACACTATAACAGCTGTCGGTCGAGTATATACATTGCAAACTGGTTATTGTTAGTTTCAAGCCAGTCAACTATCTTTTAATTTTCATCTTAAGTTCTTTCACTTTGTCACTTAACTGCATAGTGCAGTTATAATATGCATTGTTTTTTTATTTGCCTCACCATTGTTTTGTATTAGGCTGAGCGCGATAAACTAGTAGAGTATGAAATCCATGTACCAAGTGAACAGATTCGAGGTTTATCTTTGGTGGATGAGCTGCAGCGTTTCTTTTATCAAGATGAATTTAGTTCTTTAGTTCAAGCTTGGAATGAACAACGAAACTTAGTTCTAAAACAAGTTGCCGAAGAGTTTATTTTTCCATCACTTGTACGTGAACTACGACAGAAATTACTGGATGGAAGTCAACAAGCTGTACTAAGAGTATGTGTTATAAATACTACTATTAACCAATATATTATTCTTTGTGTGAATAATTAATCTTTTTATGTACTTGGTCCCGGAAACTTAAATGCACCTTATAAGTACTCATTTACTAAACTCCATTTTCTGTCTACCAGATTGCCATGTTAGTTACATTTTAGTTCAGCAACCCTATACACATTTCTTTCACTGCGTCATCGTAAGCCACACCCATGTTTATTGACTAATTATATTACTTGAGTGGTCGAACTTCCATGGATAGAATAATATTCAGACATGTTACTGAAGATTTAACGCGTAAACCTCACCTTGGTTAGTGATCGAGTACTGAGGTCTCCAGTTTCCAGGCGTAACACTTATTTTATAATTTTGTACCCCCTAGTTTATTAATTCAATGGAGTCTAGCAAATCGTCTTTGTTTCCTGGTGTGTGATGAAGGTTACCGTACTTCTTAACAATGATTGCTATATTCTTGCTAACTGGATTCAACAAATACGTCAGGGAAGGTGCAGTATAAAATTGCGTGATGAGGATAATAGGTACCAGGATTAGTTAGAAAGGGAACAATAGATGCATTTTAAAGAAATTTTTCACCAACTTTCAAGCATTTATCATTCTTATGTTAGTAGAAATAAGAAGTGCTACAAAGTGATCAAAACTGACTTTTACCTTGCTAAATGGTCTTATGATATCCTAATCAACTTAGTGACCTAATCTGCCGGACTTTATTTAGAAAGTGGAGATGCTGGTGCGTAGTGACTGCACGGTAAACTGTAATTAATTGTTCATCCTTTCCAGCAGGTCCAGTCATTAACAGTCTGTTCTCGGTATGCTAAACACAAGAATGGTGTGTATAGTGTTTACAATTGTGGGAACAGTGGCAGCAAGGTTTAATTTATGATTTCCACTCAATGCAGCATATCCCTGGAGAATTAGGTAGACGATAGTCGAAAAGAAGTGATCAAGCACAGTAAACTGTTGGTATATCTCATAGGAACGGGGCAGAATGGTACATTCGGATCGGCTGAGGAAAATTTCTAAAACTGAACGAAAGCTGCACAAAAAGCAGATACCTCTCTGACTATTGTTATGGGAAGATTGAAATATTTAATCGTCATTTGTAATCAGAATACAACTATTCACGTTGAAGACGTGTTTGACCCTCCAAAACAGTTAGAGCTCCTTTTAAGTTTATGAAACTACTTTCATCATGAGACGAAAGAACGTAGAATCTTGCACAGATTTGCATTGGATAAAGTTGCCTCAATTCATGCCAGAAAATAGAAGAAAAATCAATTTAGTCAAAGCGTTTATATGATATAAGTATAGAATTTGGGCACTGTGATAGTAAATCAGTATTAGATTTGTCTGTTTAGTTTAGCACACAGTGACATGTTAGTATTTACTAGATACTGTTTCGAACACAATTTATTGCTTACCTTCAGCAATTCAGTCGGTAGAGATAAGTGTTACGCACAACTAGTGACTTTGCTCACTGAATGTGCAATGTTAGCAGGAGCAGAGTAAATGAAACCTCAGTAGTCAAGCCAAAGCATGACACCACTTCATGAATCTTCTGACTATTGGTCTGAAGTGTGTAAGAAACCAGGTTTACGGATAATGACGATAAAAAACTTTGAGAATTCATTTCAACAAGTCAAGAAATCACACCCACATTTTAGCCTTAAAACGACAAGAAGCAGAAATGGCTGAATTGTAGTCTAAAAGAGTATGCAACTAGCATGGGAACCGGTCTATAGGGAAAAAAGAAAAGAAAAAGTAGCTGCATCAAGTAACAGTTAGTACTTTTTAATTTTACTGACGAAGCCACTGATCTAGGAAAACCAATAAAAATGGTTAGTGTTCAACTCCCGAAAAAATAGATGATAATGGCGAAAATGAAAATTCAAGGAATGGTTAGCGCTTTTAACTTTTACACTATTCTAGAAGGCAGTTAGCTTTATGCTCTATGGGACAACTACAGATCATGGTGGAGCTACCAACATGAGTGATTAGAGATAACAGGTCAGGACTACTGGTTAAAAATACTAGTTGTTGTACAGAACTCAGTCAGTATTCCTTTCGAATAGTCTATGCTTTCTTCCACTGTCACTGTCCCTATTGAACTTCGTTATAGGCTTACTAATGGACGTCTGACTTCACAGGGATTGACCTACTCCCTGGAGGTAATCTGGTTGCCTCTGAGTATGCAGATGATATTGTCCTGCTAGGTGAAGATGCTGACAAAATGCAGGATCTTGTGAAGACATTGGGGGGAAATCTGAGCATGTTTGGCATGCGTTCCGCTGGCACCTGTCAAATGTGAGATGATGCTCCAGGACTGGTTCGCTGCAAGTACTTCTAGTCTAACAATAAGGGATGAAGTGGAATATGTCGACCACTTCACTTACATAGGGATTCGCCTTAGCCCGAATGGGCTGTATGCTGACAAATAGTTCGTTTGGCATTCGCCAACATGCATTATCTGTGGTGCCAGCTTGCGAGATATCTAACTACATGTCAAAGGATGATTATACCACAGTGCAGTCCTGTTGTACGATTGTGAAACATGGCCGTTAAAAGCAGACAACATGAGGCGATTACAAGGTTTTGTTCACAGATGTATTCATAGCATCGCTCGCGTTTGGTGAAATCACTGTGTGATTAATAATAAAGTCAGATGAAGAGTACTAGTCAAGACAAGCAAATCAACTAGTGAGGGTGTGAACCTTAGTCGAATGAGATGCTTGGACATGTACTGCGCATGCCAAACCATCTCACACTTCCACATGCCAAGATGGAAGAAGTTGGATTAAGTTAAAAGTGGGTTGAGGCTGGCCAGACCAAGATCTAGTACTAGTCGATGAAATCTCTTGTTATTGGTCTGAGTTGTATGGGGCGATGTAGACTACCTGGTTAGGGTTGCCGAGACGAAAGGAATCAGTGGTTGAGGATTCTTGATGACATGGCTAAAAATCGGTCACAATGGCGCAGGTGTATTTACCCCTTGACATCTTACAAAGCTTGAATATTCACCCTAACCTTTACCTTCGAATTGGCTATTCTCTCGCACTATCTTGTTTGATATCGCTTTTTCTATCCACCTGTTCTTTGTAAACTACTGTGAAGTGTAACAATTTGAGCCAATGCACTTGTGTTGCGACGTTCTACATTGGTTTTGTCAGTCCATCATTCTATTCTACTGGATAGAAGGGAAGTTGCTTTGATCGACACAAATAAGTTAGCCTGATTATCCTTTTCTAAAGTGTCATTTTCTGTAATCATCGGACATTCGGCAGAAAATAATCAGAAGCAGATTTGCGAAAAACATTCAAATTTTGACTTTTTGTGAGTGTACTGAGTTATTTTTTACTCGATTCCGATTTCGAAAGGTAAGCATAATGGTCCCCGAAGCTAGGTGTATTTCTTGACTTGATATGGGTATTCAACTTCCTTGGTCAAAACGTCCTGTGCTAATGTCTGTAACTCAAAGTGTATTATAAAAATATTAGTGTGCTATAGCCTCTTTTCTCCGAAGCTGGAAGTTTTGCCAGTGGTTATGTTAATCCATCAATTTGTGTCTATGTCGTTGTAAAATGCTAGGGAAAGTGAGTTCACTCGTTCTACAAGTGGAGGTTTAAATTGTCTATCACGGGTCTTCATTGTCTTCGTTTTCATTTACTTCGAAAGCATTTGAGTTGCAGTTTGTGTATGTCTCTCATTCAGAAGAGAGTTACTTCAGTAGGAATGATATATCTTTTCACATCTGACAATACAGTTTAAAGCATTGCAGCGTTTTGAATACTCCTAATATTTGTGGGCACTTGTTAGTGTTCTGTATGTGAGTTTTAGGCCTGATGAGATCTGAACATGTATCGATTAGCACCCAAAGGTCGACCCTGCTTCTGACTCAGAAGTAATATATGGATTTGTATTATGGTCCATATCACAGTCAGTTGGCTTTGTTCTAATATACGAAATATAAAGGCATCTGTGTGTTGAGCATACTGAGCCACTGTGTATCCCTGACATGTGGTAAGAGTAGGAATATACTAGAAAATACCTAAGGGTAACCAGATAAAGAGATGACATCAATTTGCTAATTGTGTTATCATCGACCTTAAATTGTTGCGAACTGTACATTTTCTATTTGGAGGTAGTGAAACAACTGAAAGCAGTCGAGAGAGACCTCATGGGCAGTATGACAGCAACTATCTTATCGACGCCCATTCATCCACCTCATACCTTTATCGAAATTTTGAAAATCGTTTTATCATATAAGTTTACTAATCTTGAGGATTCTCATTTTATTCATCGATACTGATATTCGTTTATTTCAATAAGTAGTTTCTAGAGCATATTTCTTGTATCATTTACTACCTGATCTGACCACAAAGCCTAAGAAAAAAAGTAAGCGCTGAAATGTGTTTTTGACATGGTAATCGGTAACCAGTGAAGGGTCACATACTTCTGTTTCATGAATGTGCTGGAGGTCTAATGATCCATCTGTTTCGTACTATGGTTTCACAATCTCAATAGACCGTAACCAAAGTTTTTAAAATTCGGTTCATTACTAAAAAATGGATTTCACCTTCCTCTGTTGTGCCTTAAAGGTAGTGAAAAAGATCTCTGCAAAGCCTGCATCACATGCAGCAGTATGTGAGCATGTGGAAGGTAAATTTGTGTTTGTCCACTATAAGCATTGAGTTTCCGGGTACATTTTCCCTGAATCAGACAAAAGGAACTTGTGACTCAGCGTAAACTTGTTTCGATTCAAGTTGCCACACATCTTAGGAGCAAAGACATATGAAGTCGATAAGAAAGGAGAGTAAGAAGATAAGAATAGTGATACCAATAACAGTATAAAGCCTAGAGAAAAAAATTAGGGATTACTTGTTGAAATGAGAGGTAAGGAATATAAGACGAAGATTTCCTCTCGACAAGTACAACAAAGAATGGATACATCTTTTTTACTACCTTCTGTGTAAAACTATCTCTTACAAAACTGACTGTTTGATGGGCTCGACCATACAAGCATATTTTTTCCTTACGCAACTGAGGATAAGTCATGTTAATCGAGAATTACTGTTATACTGCTGTCTGATTGTCCACGTTTTAAATACTAGCTGTTGTATCCATCTAAAAGTTGTATGTTTCTTTCGCTTGCTGTTCGTGATGAAAATCATATGACCAACTTTTAACTGTGTTGGTAATCTCACTCGAAATTCGCTACTAGTTTTTTGATCATTGCTGTTATCCTTCGATATTTTTAATTCTTCTCGATAAATATCTCTTTCAGAAATTTCGTTACTTTAGTTTTTGTATTTCATAGTCATTCTGCTGTGCCTATATTGTAGGATCGCTCTTCATGAAGTCCTATTTATATATTTAGTGATAACTTGTTGTAATCCTTCTGTGTAATTAAATCATAGATGTGTGCCAAAAGCTGTTCAACTACCTTCGTGTAGGGCCATATCCACCAGATGGACACCGATCGTATGAAATGGATGCTGAAGAAGCCGCTTCTCCATTTGCTGGCAATCGTCACAAATCAGATTCTCGTTCAGGAGGAGATATTGACTCCCGTTCTAGTGCTGTTTGGCCAAAGGGAGCTCGTGTTTTGGCTCTGGCATTGAAAAATGAGGATGATATTCGGAAGTCAATGGTGACTGCGGTCCAACTAGACTGCAATGGTGAGGTTGTCGATTTTCTTCATTTTCATGGTCTTCTGGTCTCACGTCGTGCTCCAGAAGATATGAAAAAACTCAAGGTATGAATGTGTACTCATTATTTTTATGGGGTTTTCTCTTTTTTACTACTTATTAGGAACACATACGATAAAAGTGATGAACGGAAATCGTTATATAAACCAACTTTTTGTTTTTTATTTAAGGAAGAAGATATGCAGCGTCTGTCAACCTTTATGGTCAAACACAAACCTCAAGTGTGCGTAATAGGATGTGATTGTAGAAAAGCTTTGTTTTTGCAAGAGGATATTCAGCGCCTGATAAATGAACTATCCACTGAAAGACGTTTACCTCGTATTCATGTTGAGTTAATGGAGACAGAACTTTCTATTGTGTTTGCATTATCTTCACGTGCTTCGTTCGACCTACCGATATCCTATCCTCCACTTCTTCGCCAAGCTATCTCTTTGGGTAGGCGTTTACAGGACCCCTTACCTGAATTTGCGCAGCTAGTAACTATTGAGAATGAAATATTAGGCATCAGATGGCATCCATTGCAAGATTCTCTGCCTCGAGATATGTTGCTTCGAGCCCTGGAGATAGAATTTATCAATCGTGTGAATGAAGTTGGAGTTGATGTAAATCGTTGCTTATCTCATCCGCACACTTCTGGAGTTATTCAGTTTATTTCGGGACTAGGGCCACGCAAAGGCCTACACATGCTAAAGGTAGGTCATTTAAAAACAGTCACTTTTACGTACTTCAGCGTTAATAAACGTTTTCAACTGGGAATTTTTGCTCTACAGTTAGCCATCGCTAATCCATACAACGGCTGTGTTTTAAACTGAATTTGTGTAAGGTGGAATTATTACTTCATCTGTGCAGAGCTTCTCAGTTGCTAAAGTTAAGGCCGAGTGCATGTATATAGGGATGTGATAGGTAGGCACTAACGCGGTACAAAGAAGAAGCTCTGTTTTATATAATATTTTTAAAAACTCAATGGAGGTACCAAGACCCCGCTTGTTGAACAAGATTATCAGGACATACACTGATTGCTGGACTACATAGTGATTCTTCTCCTATTTCTCTGAAAAGAGGCAGTATTTGTATACTGATGGAGATGTTTCACTTGGCTAACTGCTGAAGCTGTTTTTTCTGTGTTCCTTTGTTTCACTTTCTCGTTATCTCTTCATACGTCATTCACCTTTTCTCGCTACAATCAATTTTGTTAAATGTGCTAATGAATTGAAAATTCTGCATACCAGGTACCTCTGCATCTGATTGCTCTTCCCCAAACAATTTTTTATTGAACACTAAGAAATACCTCCTGAGTAGTCTCAAGTTTAATTCTTTAAAATATCAGACTATCAATTTAAGCTTAAGATGTTAACGGGTGATGTGCAAACTGCTTCACTCTCTTTGACTCCTGTCCTATTGCTCCCTATTTATTGAAGGATGTGTTGACTGTGGTCTATTTCGGTTTATGTTTTTCGTCTGATCGCTTTTAATCGTCTTACATCTTGTTGATTTTAAAAATTCTTTCATCTACTGAATAACAAAGCTGTAATTTTCTGGCATAGCCCAGTCTTTACCTTTATAACTTACTAATTCTTCCATTTCACCAATTTTCTGTTCTCAGACTTTTGAATGAAGACTGTGCTGTACTGCTTTAGACTCTTAAGACGATCAACAGGATCGGATGTATGTCTTTTAATGGTCATCTATGTGCATAGGCATCCTAATTCACATAAACAGTTAGCAGTTATTTTATCAAATGAAAAACATCTTGTTCGTTCATAAAATTCTCCCTCACTATCAACAGACACGATAAGTAACAAGTAAATAAGACTTTATGTACGTCTGACTTAAACGGAAGACTCTTCTGTATATTATTTAGCTCTCATTCTAGCTGCGGAAGGAAGTTCTGAGTGGAAATTAGGGAGTGTTTGGGATGCATTTCTCACCACCCAACTGCAAATTGCTACTCCAGGATTGGCCTTCAACAGTTCCTCGGCTAGCAATAAAGAGTGTATTGGTTGAGTGTATCGACCACTTGACTTACCTGGGAAGCAGGATCAGCCCTGGTGGGTCACTGGCCGATGAAATCTCTGCACGAATACAAAGTGCTTGGTTGGCTTTTGCCAATTTACGCCACGTGTGTCGCCGCCGTGATATCCGACTGTCTATTGAGTGGCGTGTACTGCACAGCAGTCCGGTCTGTTCTACTGTATGGCTATGAAACATGGCCATTGAAGGTGGAAGACATAAGGAGACTTCAGGTGTTTGACCACCGTTTCCTCCGTAGTATAGGTCGTATTCCGTGGTGTTACCACGTGAGTAAAACAGAGGTCAGGTGTAGAGTTTTTGGGAGAAAAGGTAAATCAGTTGACACGGTTATAAACCTTCATCGACTTAGATGGTTGGGACATATGTAACGTATGTCTAGTGGCCGATTGCCTCGTAGGTTCAGACTGAAAAAGACTCGAGGTGGTTAGACTAAAATATGCCACCAATGTACGAAGTCTTTGACTGTTGGTTTGAGCCATGTGGGGCGATCCAGACTGGGTGGTTGGGGTCCGCAGGACAAGAGGAACCAGTGGTTGGAGACTCTAGGTGATATGGCTGAGAGTGGATGTCAGCGGTGCAGATGTATACACACATTATCCTCATCTTCACGCTATACAGAATCTCACCATTTTCTCATTCTTAATTTCTCTCTTTTCGTACTTTATAATCCTTTCAACTGGATTTTCTTTTTTTCATCTTCGACTTCACTGCTTTTTACTTGATGTACTGATATATGCTTTGGCAACTTGGAGGGTTACGCAGTTGATTTTGATGATGATGTGGAAGAAAGTGTTAGAATCGAACTTATTGATCGACTTTTCATTGCAAATGGATGAATGGTTATATTATTTCCCGTTGTTTGTGTAATAGTAATCTAACCATTACTAAAATGGCTGTAACAAGAATTTTTCTCTCTCGAAAAAGTCACACATTGGTTAAATTGCTTTCTGTTTGCTAGTTTACAATTTAACATGTTGTGAATTCTTTATAATGTACCTAAATATTATTCAGAATAGAACTATCACTGTTATGTTGCACTTCAATTCGCCACAACAACTATTATATTTATTAACTTCCAATGTTTATGTCAGAAAAGGTTAGGAGTGACCAAATTGATATTTGGTACTAGTCCATGAAGTCTTTAATTGTCATTGTGAATCACTTTAGGAGATATAGGCTTTTCAGTTTAGTTTCAGAAGACAACTGGAACTGATTGTTGGAAAAAATCTAGATTGTATGGCTCAAGGTCGATCACAGTGGTGAATTTACATCCAAACTTTATGTTCACTTTAATCGTTATATCACATTTGGATACCCGCTTTAGCTCCTTTCTTAGTTTTATGACTCTGCTGCTGTTGGCTTTAAGATTGATAGTTCTTTGTTTATTTTTGTTTTACCTTGTGCCATGATGTGCACGTATTAGGTGTAGCAACTTGAACAGTTAAGCAGTAATGTTGGGATCCACGTTACTATTCACTAACCAACCGCATTGGGAGGTTTTTAAGAATGTCTTCACTCCTATTTATTATGAACTAATACTCATGTTAGCATTTTTAATTTGCATATGCAGAGTTTTAATACCATTATTTTCCCTAAATTTAACAGCATTTCTGCTGATGTGCGATTGGAGCACTTTTACAATTCATTGTATAGGATGTATTTTTACTAACTCGGTGCCCAAGTTTTTTCAAACCATCCAGTCCATTGTTGGTCAGGATACCTTCAAACTTTTACAATTGTTTTGAACATGTGTTATCAATTTTTGTGTTCTTTGTATATAAGATGCCTTCTGATTGAGATATATTGTTTTTCCTTACAGATATTAAAGCACAAAAAAACACATCTGACTAACCGAATGCAACTAGTAACAATGATAGAGTTCGGTCCGCGAGTGGTCATTAATTGTGCTGGTTTCATTAAAATTGATACTGCCTCCGTACGTGACCTAGATGCAGATGATGTGGATCTGCTGGATTCTACTAGAGTGCACCCTGAAAGTTATGATCTAGCAAAGAAAATGGCTGTGGATGCTTTAGAGTATGATGATACTGAAGAGTGTGACCCAACAGTCGCACTTGAAGAAATAGTTCACAGGTAGGTGCATGTTCAGAAGTTCTGTTTACAATTTACTGAATATCACTACTTTGTCTGCTTAGATATGTATGGTATTAGTTTAGTTCTTATTTAACTATTGAACATTTATGTGAACCATAAGTACCCCTGTCGTTTTATGAAGTGTTATTCTCTTATTTGGAAACTTTTAAACTTTCTGTTACCTGATGTTTGCTCATATCAACCTGCATTACTTTTAGTATCTATTATTAATCTCATTAAAGCAGGTATCCAGCATAGTTCATTACTTGTCTTCCCCCATCCAAGTCTCACTAACAAGGTAATCGATTCATGATAAATTATATAAAACAACCACTTTACTGCTTTATAGTTATTAAAATGGATTTACCCACTCCACTGTATACGTGATTATGCAATTGGTTGTATTTTTTAGTCAGGTTTTAATATCTTAAACCGATGGGTGTAAGTGCAAATTTCAGTTTGAAGGGACGAGGTTAGTTGTCTCCACCCACATCGGTAAACAGAATATTTAATTTGTTGGTGTTCAACACGTTCTACAAATTGCCGGGAGAAAAATATCCCAGTAAGAAGAATGAGGTTACAAATGAAACATCAATAACTATCGATACGATAAAGGTGGGCGATCAGGCTCTTCTCAAGAGATTTAAGCTCAACTGAAAGAAAAGTACTGGAAAAAGAACAGAACTTAAGTGTTGCAATAGGGCATCCAAATCGGAAGAAAATGGTTTACGCTATGTTGGAAGTTCGAGAGCAATGCTATACTGCTGACTGTACTTTATTTGATGGCTATAAGATGGTTCCTGAGAATCATCAGCGTTGCATGCTGATACTGCCTTATTGCAAGTATAGATGTTAAAGATTGGTCCTGAAACTGGGTGCACTTCTCTCTCCCCTTGATCTTTCGGTGCAAGAGGTACAGATTTTTCTAGTTCAAAGATAACGCAAATAATCCCTGATCAACAGTTGTGGAGCTGTGGCTTGCTAGTTTTGTTAGTTGACTTCCCATTGATGGATTACCGATCCGAACCCATCTTCACCTACCGAAGTTTGGGCAGCCAAATAATATCATTAACCCTCATAGTAGGTGTGACTCCTCGTCTACCGCATAAACGTACATTTGGTTGCTGAGAACATTTCGATTCGACTCGATCTAAAATTCCCCAGAAGGGTTGCATGTTCATCCTCAAGCAGATGTAGCATCACCTTTGCGGTCACCCACACGAGTAGTGAAGATCATCCATAGGAATCCATTTTCTTCTCCACATACCTCAAGAAGAAGTAGTCACCCACAGTGTGTGTAGCCGGGAAGTATCTGGAGCTATCACACCAGTTAGCACTCATCTTCTTCATCACAACTAACATCGCACATTATCTTCTACTCCCTCTCAATATCTATCTGTTAATATTCCTGCGTTCTCTTTAATTTATTCAAGTCTTATTGCCCCTACTGAAAAATTTGGTTCAGAGAGTAGCATCTCCCGTCTCTACACTCCAAACTGCATTTTGGAGATTTCCATGTACACACCATCAAGTCGAAAAACAAGCTTCACTAGCCAAAACTTTGGCATCTTTGGCCATGGAGGTATGCTGCGTTTGTGTAAGACATACTTGCAGAACCTAAGTGTGGTTATTGGATAAATATCACGTGGTCAGTGGATGTGTCTGTAAAGTTTATCCTTCGTGTTTCTCTAGGTTCCTCGGCAGAATCTTATGGTCTTGCAGGTGTAGGCATATCACTAAGAAAGCACACCGCTTGACTGGATACTAGTAGAGGTACGGGTTTTACTGAAGTGTCCAGCCATCCCCACTTCCTGCTATAAACCAAGCATTGAAATGTGGCTTTTGCAGCCGATAACTTTAATTCACATGTAGAAATCTGAGCCAGACACGAAAGAATCTAAATGACACTTTTAGATTCTCAGTCAGACGGGAGGATAATGGTGATCCCTAGCCTCAACTCTGCTCAGACAGCCACAGCATTCAGTGAGATATGACATCCGTCGAACTCAACTCATCGGTGGACACAGGTTGACCATATCACTCTCAGTTACCGCTAGAGAGGTTCGGTAGGAAATCACCACAAGTGTATTTAATCAATAAAATTTTACTTCCATTGCCTTCAGTGATGTAGAAAACAAAACACTAATTCGTTGAGTACTATTTAAACAGCCCCTTTTAGTGTTTCATTGTTTAAGCGGAAAGTATGTTACGTGTACGCATGAACTTTGGATTATAATTCAACGAACCTATTTCAACCGTTGCTGGAGATGCCTGTTTATATTACCGTTCAAATTCATTGACTTGTTGATCTGCATAGTTTCTTTTACTTTTGATTTCATGTCTTCTTTTTACTTGTGTGGATTTCTATCACTTTTTCTGGCGCTTAGCTTTTTATATTTTTTATCAAATTTCAGTCCTGCACGTTTACGAGAATTAGATCTAGACGCGTTTGCGGAAGAGCTTAAACGACAAGAACATGGGGACAAGCACATCACCTTATACGATATCCGAAAAGAACTGAATCATCGTTATCGGGATTATCGGGAGCCATATCAGTCTGGTAACCCAGAAAGCATTTTCAGTATGGTGACACATGAGACTCCTGAAACTTTACACGTGGGTCGCTTAGTTGAGTGTCGCATTTTGTCAGTCGCTACTAGACGGCCACGACCAGAACAGCTGGACAATGCAAATCCAACCAAAAATGAAATCAATGGCTTGTGGATGTGTCCATTTTGTCGTCAAGACAACTTCCAATTACTCAACCATGTAATGTTTATATTATACTTTTTGGATCTTATTAATCTTAGCTGTTGTAACTATCATTTCCATGTATTATTCGTGATATGAAATTTGTGATATCACTCAACATTCCTCGTTTGCACATTTTTAGGTGTGGAGTCATTTCGATAATAATGAATGTCCTGGACAGCCAGTTGGATTACGGGTCCAATTAGATAACGGGATTGATGGTTTTATACCACTGAAGTTTATGGATTCCCCTGAAAAATTATTTGAACGTACACAACCTGGTTCTCTCGTTCAATGTCGGGTAACTAAGATTGACATAACAAGATTCAACGTGGAGCTGACTTGTAAGACGACTGAATTGAAAGTAAGTTTCAATAGCCGATTGAAGTTTAAGTATTCAATGGGGTCAACATTTAAGTTTAATATAATATTGATATATCTAGTTAACTTTAGTTCTATTTTTTTCCATGACATTTTCTTTTCAAAGTCATTCTGTACAGTTTTTCGAACTTTGTAGGATGAACGTCATATGTGGCGTCCACGTCAAGATGCTTTTTATGATTATGAAAGAGAAGAACGGGATATACGTACAGAAGAAGAAGCAATGGCTAAAGCGAAGGCTAAGACAAATCCCTATATGTCTCGTTTGATATTCCATCCATATTTCAAAAACATCAGCTATGATCAGTTAGCTGTAATGGAACCTGAGTTGGAGCCTGGTGCAATCATCATTCGTCCAAGTAGAAAGGTACACTATTCTATTTTGGTTTTTCTTGTTCGATGTGCGTTTTACAATCCAGCTTGCCATTGAAAGCCTTTCGAATATTTAAGGTTTAAAATATATATGTTATCAAACCCCTTTTACATAATCCACCTTTTTGTTGTTAGCGACAGCAACGGTTAAATCCAATTTTAGTCGAAGTGTATTGTAGATGAATTTTGATTTCTTTAAGAATATTTGTATTATCTGGTCTTCAGTTTGTATCGTCATAGGAATGCGCTTCATCTGAATACAAGAATATTTGATGGCTTGCTTAAATTTTGGGCTACCATAAATATTTCATCGAATATATTTCATCAGATTGCTCCTTTTTAACTTGTTTTAGCCATTCAAATATCAACCAATCGTAAAACATACTCTCGCGCATTCTTAAAATATCTTCAACCTACCGTTAGATGGGTTAACAACAGGACTGCGAGAAAGTATCACAGTAGGTGACAGTTAGCCCCTGAACGCTACGACAGTGCGTCATATAGTTATTACAGGAACACGCTGCTGGAACAGCAAATTTTTATACTGGATGAATGAACCCCTCACTAAACTTTTCTATCCGTTCCAAGTGCAACAACATACAAATTAGACGGTGACATAACAACTTCTGGTTGTTATACACTACTGCCTACCATACTATTGTTATTAACATTATCTAATTGCTATGGGTTTTCTTATTTGGAAATATTGTAAAAGAAGCAGATTTGTTGAAACACCACCCTGAGAATTCTAAACTATACTAGAATTTATGGTTTGGGATAAAGTGATTTATTACTACTATTATTATTATCACAATATTCATATCCCACCATTTTTTTAGGGAACAGATCATCTGACTGTTAGCTGGAAGGTCGATGACAGAATCATGCAACATATTGATGTTGTTGAGAAGGAGAAAACGAACAACTTCTCTCTGGGAAAATTATTGATTATTGGAGATGAAGAATTTGAAGACCTGGATGAAATAGTAGCACGTCATGTACAACCTATGGTATCTCTTGTTCGTGATATAATGACTTACAAATATTATCGGACTCTTCAGTGAGTTATTATGTTTATATATAGCTATTATACGCCTAATTAATTTATTTCTCGACAAAGAACAACACCGGAATATAGGTGACCTAAAGAATTCTAGGCACCGTTGATATTAGTAATGGTCGTTAAATGACTCATCAAATAGATGTATATTTATTTGCTAGGACGTAAACTGGATTTGATTTGTTAGGGACTATGATACTAGGTTTATTACCAGGATAACTGTAGGAGGTAAACTTTCCGACTGACAACCTAGTGATTGTTGTTTAAATACCTAGACCACAGAGTCGCATTTCCATATGTCAGTTGACGCATCCGTTGCTCATAGTGAAGGACTATCTATCCAGATGCTTGAGTAGTTGGAAAGAAGCTGAGTGCCTTGACCAAATCATGACACCAGTTCGTGAAATCTGTGACCGTTGGTCTGATTGGCGCTCCTAAGACAGCAGTAGTCGACGATTGGTGGCTGCAGGATATGAATGATAATCAGTTTCATAGACTGCTACACCTTATCTCTATTTAAATCTTGAGAGCAGTAATAATTCGAGCCTTTTATTGGCTTCCTTTCCACTTTTTCGAGCTTATTTACCACTATTGGTATCATTATTTTTCATTTCTTGGTAGTTCATCTTACTGATATTTTCTCGATGAACTCATTCTGGAAGAATGATGCCTTTTTTTGTAAAGCTTTGCAATTTACGACAGAAAGCCAATAAGGAAATGCAGAATGCACATTTTGCTAACCGACTTATAATACTCCGCTTTTAAGTGATAAGATAGTATGGCTGGAAATACCAGTCGCCAAGAGCAATATCTTACTGCACTCACATCTGCTGTTAACGAGTACTTCAAAACTCCCCTCGGACTGTCGCACTGTAAATGACCGATGCTATGACTATACCTTCTTTTTAATCTGTCCTGTATTGTCTCAGCGGGACTTAAAGGACCACGGACCACAAGAGTTCGGTTAAATCATAGAGATAATTGTTGGTACAAGCATCTCTACACAGGGTGGAGTCTAACAAACATATCCTAATCTTAAAACAAGAAAGAAGTGCTGGGTTTGATCTCTCATAACTCATAGTCAGTAAGGATGAACACGTCATTTCGCACTCCCTCATATATATAAAATCTGTATTCTTCTTAACATTCAGATAGCAAGCTGTAAATTCAGTTTCTTTTCATCCAAGTTTACTCACATTTTTGTTTTGTGGCTGACTTACAGTCAGTTTCCTGAGCATAAACATTATCTTTCTATTTCTTCCGTTCTAATTTCATCTGCTTCTTTCTTCGGTGGTTAAGGAAAGCATAAATATTTTGTTTTTAGAAATTATATTGAGTAACTATAACTTTCTAATTCTTGCCTAAAATATTCTGTTTGAAAAAAGAAGTGAGATAATTTCTCTTCTTCCATGGTCATGAATAAAAGCCTTGTCAAATACTAGTTAGCTAAATGCACACAAGGCGACTCACTCAAAAAGATTAACGGAAAACCACCCCACATGCACAATGTTCATTGGTGGAAGTCATATTATATCTACTATATAATACTGGTATGAACATTGTAGACAATAGAAAGATTATCCTACTGATAGGTTCCAACCATATAAGAAACTCTCGCACCTTCACATCTGAACATGCATGTGCTTACTACTAGTTTACTTTAAAATTTGTCTTTCTTTCCCCTATACATTCCATCTATGAGAATTTGTTGTTGTTACTTAATTCGCGTGGAGAATGATTCAGGCAAGGAAGTACGTACAATTTCTACTAATGACGAATATCTCATGTTCAAACTGAAATAGGTGTGAAAATCTAATATTTTTAGATTTTGAAGTATAACTGCACAGTTTCACCACTCTTGTACGCATAACTGCATACAGCCTATTGGGTTGACTAACAGTCATAATTTCACTAAGTTTCATACTGGTAGAAAATGTCACTCTTATGTTTGTGCTTGGTTATTACTATTCATATCCAGTCCATTTTAGCATAATCAAAATGATTGGAAAGCACGGTATGTTGTTGACGCTTGCGAAAAATTTCTTGTCATATTGCTTGTAATAATGAATTCCGATGAAGTGGAATTCCGATCACTGCTTGTGTTTTCAGCATCTAACTAACTATAATAAGGAATAAATTTCGCTACAATTAGAATTGTGTGCTATTCCCACCAGCTGACTTGAAATCTACAAATTTCATATGCTTTACTGCTTTACTTAAACTTATCCATGGATAAGAATGCAACTGACAGTTATAATAATGAAGGTTCGTATACTGTCACTTTTCTTCACTGTAATTCCCTTCTAACAGCAGTCTAGAAGTGGAAAATTAAACACAATATTGTATTAATAGCCTCCTGGTATCTGGGTATTATAATTACTGATATATTACTGTTATATTTGTTTCTCTTTCCTTTTCAGGGTGGCGATCGTAGCCATTTGAATGCTTTACTTCAACATGAGAAAAGCCTGAATCCAGATCGTATTCCTTATTTTCTGAGTTCAACAAAAGAACGTCCTGGTTACTTTATTCTCGCTTATTTACCTAATAAAAATCCACATTTTGAACTGTTCAGCGTACGACCTGAAGGCTTCAAGTTCCGACAACTAATATTTCCCACTCTAGATCGTATGATTACTTGGTTTAAAGAACACTATAATGATACTGTTAATTACTATCGTGGTTAAGTTGTTTTGTCTCAGGTTTTTATTTCTAGTCTATAATTCTTTTCACTGTGGATTTAATCGCATGTGAATTTCAATTGGATATGCCAGCTGAAACTGTATCTAGTTCTAGTTCGGATAAAATATAATTTTTGTAAATATCTTTAGGGTTATACACAAGTTTTCATAGACGTTACTTTTTTATTTTCTTTGTAATGTACAACCAAGTTATAATACATAACCGATACAAAACTGAATTTATATTATTCTACACCTTGTGTAACATCTGAAGCTTCACTTATTATTCTGATATTGATAAACTGCTTTTAGTTATATAAATTGTGTATTTCAGAAAGATTTTGCTACACACCATTTTTTTTGTGTCGATTAATCGCTGTGATCATCAAATGTTGACAGTTGTATTACAAAGTCACGATACATGATCTTCCCTCTTGATAAGTCTGTTGCAGCGGCAAGCATCTCTTCCATCTCATCTTTGGTAAATGGTTCCCCTGAAAATAAAAATGAAGAAGTTATTACCTGAGGAGATCATATGCGATTCAAGAGCCTCTGTCGTCAAATACCCTTTCTTTTCTACATCCAGAATTGAAAACGCTTTCAATAATTCCTCTTCGGATGCAGGTTCGAATCTGTTGGGGAAAGTAAAATAGTAACTTGACTCACTACCTTTTCTGTTCCATTGCCTGCAGCATTACCGGGAGAAATCGTTCATAATTAATGTAACCATTTGGTGGATCATTTTCCAACTGAATTCATAAGTGTTGCAAATATTCACAACTAACCTCACGCACAAGTGCTACTACTTCTGCTTCAGTTGGCACACCACCTAACGCTCTGATTACTGTACCTAATTCTCTGAAGTCTATCGTTTTATTGCGTTCATGATCAAATAAGTCAAAAATTTCGCTTATTTTCAGCTCTAGATCACCTCCTAAGTTGTGTGATCAAATTAAAATAAATTGTTGATATTAAAGCAGATCAAGCATAATTTGTGACATGTTCCTCATGATCCCGACAGTCGAATGAGTGTTCTTTGTCGCAGGATTGTAGCTGATTTCTGAAGGTTAATGGATACGTAGCTGACGTTTTCTGCCTTGGAACCCTCAGTGTTGGAGTAAAAGGATACGTGTATGACTTCTAAATATTATGAAGTGAGCGATCGATCAATGCCAATTTTGATTTTCTTTGCCGTGAAGCAATGCCAGTAATTAGTAGATGTCTACTGTGTCTCTGAGACGCAATTTTCCTCACTACGAGCGCAGTTATAAGCGAATATCCACTGCGTATCTGTCACTATATCTACTAATATATTTCAGACGGAGTAATACTCTTCAGTATGGGGAGATAATAGGATGTCACCCGGGCCTACTTTCTTAGGTACATAATATTTAGATTTACTGTTTTGTTCGTTGGACTTAAAGGTATATTAGAGCGAATGCTCAACCTAAATTGAGTAGCCGAATATTATCGATTATCTGCAAAATTTGGAAGTGTTGGAGTTAGAATTTTTTGAGTTATATGACGAAATCAAAACTAACTTTGGCACTTAACATGGTGGGTAGTTTTTTGGTATCTTTTTCTGGTTCTGGATTACATGGCATAAACCAGCCAACTATGAGAAGACATACAGTGATCATCTGAAGACTATGTGTATATGATTACCAGTATTGAAGTACGTAAACTTGATGCTTCTGCATCAAAATAACAAGTGTTCCCACATTCATAGATGTCGCTATCTGACTTTTCTGTTAACAAAACATAGACCTAACCTCTAAATGTCACGTAATTTGCTTATGGAGTTCAGCAGGTGTTACGGTTTTCAGCATCCAACTGAGGAATATACTTCCACTAGTGAATTTGCAGTGTCATACCAACACTTTTACTGCCCTGTAACCTCACTTAAATGTAGAAAAGGCATGATTCGATCCCATCTCTGAAGCAAACTCCTAGCATATGACCAGTACTAACGACTTGTACACTGTCAGCTCTACTTCATTACTACACAAACACTTCCTTAATCTCTTTCATTTTTCCGATTAATGGCTGTTACTTTGGCATGTTATGTGGATTTGCGTTTTGACACACCATATACTCATGCTAGTCAGAAAATTTGTTTTTTGAAAACCTATCATACAAGCGAGGTTAGTTAGATACTTGTAAAACAAAAAGCAGTTATTGTCATAGTGTATATAACCACGCTACGATGGGACTCAAAGGGTGAAGTGGTACTAGTGGTAGCAGTAGGCTGTTTCCCATGGCAGACCTCGCTGATGCTACCTTCTTTCTGGGGAGGTGAGTTAACAAAGCCTTCCGGTGCCAGCAGTACAAATTTTTTTAGCTGATTTCAAGACAAAATGAAATCTAGAACTTCCCCGAAATCCGTGTGTGATTGGACTCTGCAGTCATTGCCAAACTAACCCCTTTCCTCTTTCACATACCTCAAAAATAAGTAATCTTTTAGAGTGTGAGCATTCCGGAAGTGCCGATCACTCTCAAAACTCTATCACTACTGCGGTTCCCTCAGATCATTATCAAACCTCACACTTTTGCATCCCAATCTTTCTTCATATTTCCAAGTCAACGTATCTACACCATCCAGATTTCTTCTTGGTGTACAGTCCTTGATGACGGTTATAAAAGATGAAAGGAATGAAGATTGGAATCTAAAACAGCCACTATCGATCATACTACTTTGTTTTGAAATACATTTTGGTATTTTATACCAATGATGGAAAGCGCTTGGCAGTGAAATTCCGGACGCACGTTTCTTCCTATTTGGGATTCGTCAGGTGGATATACCAGCCTTTCCAATGAGTGATGCCGTTCCCTCTAAAACTCGAACCGAGGACTAACCTCTTCGAATACCAGAGCGTTATCAACCAGGCTACTGAGTCACTATACCCTTTCATTGTACGACGGGTGTAACGTCAAAGACTATACTACGTACATGAAATGGTCGTGTTGAATGGAGATACTGACAACCAATGTACAGTCTTCTGGATAGTTTAAGTGATAGTTATGCTGACTGTGAAGGGTCATGGCCGTCCGAAATGCAGACTCCTGCTTTAGGAATGGTCTGGATCGGCATTCTGCCTGAGAACCGACAATGCGACATGAGACTAGCATGTAATTGATGAAGCGGCTAGGCAGAGTTTTAGGTAGAATAAGTAAGTCAGTTGATGATGTGAAGCTTTATCGACTCAGGTTGCTTGGAGATGTGTTACGCTTTTTAAGTTAGCATATACATCAACGTGCGCGTTAGCTGAAAAGCGGTTAAAATTGACTGAGATAAGACATAGAGTTAACGAAGCCTTTGATTTGAGCCATGTAGGTGAATTTATACTTCCTGGTTGGAGTCTGTGTGACAACCGAAATCGGTGGTTCAAGAGTCTAGGCGATATGACTCAGAAGCTGCCTCAGTGGTGCAGGTATTTCCTCACGATAAATCCATGCCGACCGTCATTTCTTACCTCTATCTCACTGTAGTTCCCAACTGCTTTCGGTTGCTCTATTTCTTATTTACCTTTCTTTCCTTTTAATGTACTGCATCTCGATCTGGTGCTAATAGATGTGGAAACATTTAAGCGTTATGCAACAGTAGTACTTCTTATTTTAGCATTGGTCAGTCGACTGACCTGAGATCATCGGGCTCGTGGTTTTTAGGTTGGTGTCGCATGTTTGTCTGGTTGCTTATGTCTTCTCTGTAACATAACCCTTCTGTCATTTCCTCGTGGTTAGTGAGTTGATATGCATTACACATGTTGCAATCTCGGTCGTGTGAGACTCTCAAGTAACTCACTTCTAATCATTTCGCGTGCTAACGTCGTCACCGCTGAAAAGATGACTGTGCACGTTCAAATTGTGTTCCTCACGGTCCTATTCTATTGTAAAGGCTGGTGTTCTATATAATATTTCCTACTATCATGGTTCAAATAATTTACACTTTGATGATAGCCTGAGAGGGAATTCCCACTCGTCGCTAGATTCTAATGTGATAGCAGTAAGATGTTCCCCTTAGATACTCAAATAATAAGCACAGTCGATTGTTTGGAGAATGAAACGCAAACCTCATGGATGTACTGTTAAGCGGCAGATATCTTTTGAAATTTCTGCATCGTTATCGAAATGCGGATAAAAAATGTATTGTTGCTTAGTTAGTTCCTAATTAAAATACGTCTATCACAGCATTGTGTGTGAATGATTTAAACATTCCTACCGACCGTTAAATACAGTGCACCCCTCTGAAGAATATAGTCTTCAGCCAAAGTCAACATGAAGTGAACGTAGCTTATGCACTCTTGTAAAACCCCATACCATTCTACCGATAAGCTTGCATCCACTTAACCCTGTCAGTCTAACCGTACGTGTGGTCACACATTCATAGATATAACTCATTGATCTATGCAAGCATACATTCCGAAATGATAGCAAGAGGAAATGAAATTGAATGACTTCAATAACCTCTGCAATAGATATACATCTTCGTCTATTGCTACAGTCATCATTGAAACTGGTCACGAATGTTAATTTATATTCATACTTTCAACCAATCTCAAAATTCTTTTAGTGACATATATAGATTTGTTGAAGCTAACGCTATAAGGATGTTTAATCCTCTTCTATGTATTCAAAGCAATATGCTGTTACACTTAATTCTCAATAATAACTTGGCCTTTATTCCAAGAATGGTTAGTGGATCACCTCTTTTCATCTATAAGTTTGATGCTTTGTTGTATCTATTATTTTTTAAATCCAATAACCCTTCGTTATATTTCATATACATATCCATGAAATGTAGATATGTAACCCTATTGCTTGAAAGATTTTGCACCAAAATACAATTTCCAGATAAGTTACATATTTTCGCAGTCGTCTGAAGTGGATAAGCTACACAAAGTTAATATTTAAGCAATATATATTCACAAGAGGTAGCAGAAGAATATTCGTCAGTGCGTAATATTAGCTGTTCTCAGTAACTTCTACCATTTTCGTCCTCCGTAGGTGTAAAATGAAAATCCCTCTCTCTATGTACATAATATATAGCTTCCTTTGTATAAGCAATATAATAAAGAAAATGAACAACATACAATAGCCCAATACTTCAGTCAAACTTATTGTGAGCATTCAATTTGTTTGCCTCATTCTATGGGTCGTGGAAATAGCCTTAAGTGGTACGACTAATATTAGTTTTTACTTTTTTTGATCATGTAGTAATAAGGTGAATGCCATTCTGACTTTCTAAAACATATGTTTCTCTCTTTTCCCATAAAATAAAGCCAAGAAATTATAACCATGCACATGTTACAACATAATGAGATATCTAACAGATTAGTATCATGGCTTTATCTTTAATTTCATACCTATTAGTACAAAATGAATAAACGGTGGTTCAGTATGTCTAGTAGATGTGCACTGTATATTCGTCTTTCATATATTTAAACAGCCTCAGTTTATTCACAGTAGAAAACAATATGAATACTGATTTTCTCGTTGATTAACTAGCTGGGTAAGAACTAATGTGCTAGTAAATACTATGATATTCATGCCCAGATAATGTTAAATCAGAATCACTCCTGAAATGTCATTTTTGAAGCTGAATCCCTAATATACCATAAAAGAACATCCTTTTCGGATTGGACTTGAAAGACCCTGCACAAAAGTTCATCCCAACTCTGTCGCATATGTAAACTATGGAGTTCTCCACCTCGTGAGGTAATAGGAGATATATCAACAGGTGTTTTCTTTATATTTTTATTCCCGCATGACCCACTTTAATACCTTCTAGGTCAATTAAGACTTCTCCTGTCCTGCCATATACCGTGGTAACTTCATTCAAATCAACTTTGTTTGTGATTTCAAATTCGTTTACCGCGTGGTGATAGTAGTCTGGAAGGCTTTGGAGGAGCTCGTAACTACAATGGAGAGTAAAACCCATCTTCAAACTGGAGTAGCTGTATTTAATTTATGGTCAGTGCTTTAATATATTCATCTTTCTTAACAGTATTCAGAGTGGCATCATCTTTTCATGCCACTTTCTCTAGTTGTACAGCTGATCCCACCTTACTCAGTGCCTAAGCTATATGGTATGATCTAATTGAAAATATCTTGCGTGTGCCTGAAAACAAACGGGTCAGTCAGTCAATATCAACAGGGATCTGGTTTTACAGTGATACGGTTGGAATTGTTACAGCTCGCATCACGAAATCAAAGTAGAAGACAATTAGATGGAAGAAAGATGCAAAAAGTAACCAAAAGCAGTTAAGGACTGTTGTGAGACAGGAGAATTCGAAAATGATGGTCGCCATGAACACAGTGTTGCTGGATGCATCTACACCGCCGAGATAGATTCTGAGTCGTATCACGTATTGCCTTCAACCACCGATTTCCGCTGTCCCAAAGACTTCAAGCAGGAGGTCTATATGGCTCAGACAAACAATTAAAGACTTCGTGAACTCTGTCTTATCGAACACGTTTGAACATTTTCCAGCATGAACTTACTTCAAGTAACATGATTAGTTAGAGACCAGTTACGCCTTCATACTGTTCTGTTAAAAGTCTTAAAGTTGACTATCTACATGAGATGAATTTTAACTGCTGTAGAATTTGGGCACAATCAGACAACTTCAGGCTGACTTCGGTAAGCGAAACATATACTGACTGCAGTGTGTGAAATTTTAGCTTACTGCGGGAAAAAATTGTTGTGAAACTCTACGTCCTGTTAAAAGGAACAGAATTGTTCTTCAACATATGTAGTTTGTTGGGAACCTATTCTTTTCCATAATAAAAGCAATCACTACTTAAGAAAAGCACTGAATTTAATCACATGTTTTTTGGGGTAATTTATGTATAGATAGTGAGAAAAGAACGCGTTCAAAGGGGAAGTATTTCTTGTACCTTGCATAAAGTGGTCCAAGAGCATGTAAAGCAGAAGCAAAAAAAAGGAATAACGATGTCTAGTTTACTGGTCTCAACTGCTTTTTTTTTACCCATGCATTACTACAGTTTTCTTTCGTTTACCTTGGAGACAATTGTTGCCAATTCACGAAGGAGAAAGACCCTCCTTGGTGAACCAGCTTAGCATGTTAGGAACTCATTTATTTAACGTGTGAAATTAGAATGATAATATTAAGTGCAGAATGCATAAGGGGACATATATATACGTTACTCTCAATATTTTCTTGCAAGTCAGGTGGCTCAGCCATTCAAATTAGTGTCCACTTTCATAACCATAGCAGTAGAATCCAATGTCTCTTTTCAAACTACTGTGAACCAACTGATTTCTTCGAGCTCACTTCTAGACCTTGTGGAATGGTTCCAGGTCTTTGTTGAATTCCGATACAGTTTTCAGCTTTACCTCTGAGATACACGACTGTTGGTTGGGAGTTGATTAAACTTGAAGGGGTTGTGTGAGTAAATGGTTGTTGACGGAATAGAAGAAGCTTTCACTTAACTGGCTTCCTCGTCGTCAGTCCATGGATTTTAACCTGTGCACAAGTAAAGGAAAAAGTGACGGTTTAAATGTGAAAATTCAATTGGTTCTGGGTAGATCCCAGATACAAGTCAAGTGGGCATCTAGTCGGCGTTTAAAGGATTCAGACGAAGTGGCCTGCATCAGAAAGAGCATTCTAGGGTTTAACAACTCTCAGGATATAGGGGTTGTGTCTGAGATCTAACCTTTTATGTTACAGGTTTAGTTTCTGTTTGTGTCCTCTACGATTAGTGCTGCAGCTAAGATTTAGTAAGTGACGGAGTGGGTGGCCAGGGGTGCTCAGAACGGTGTGAGTTATTACGAAGTCTCCTTTAGCCTTCTGTATTCTGCAGGATACAGATAGAGCCCAACCAGCCATTCTTCGTATGTTTTTGACCTAAGTCCTTGGACAGGCCAAGTTTTCATGAAGTGCCTCTCGTCACAGTCACAACCAGTCAATAAGCTGAGGTTGAATCCCTAAACATTTCAGTTGATCGACAAGGCAGTCATGATTAACATGATCACACGATTTGGCGAAGTTGAGGTCTATAATACCAATTTGCGTTCGACGGTCAACAATGACAGTCCGCCTATCTACTGCAGTGAGCGAATTGGTAATGCAGGAGTAAGTAAAAAAAGATATAAAAATCTCTACTGACCACCCTATTTGGCAGTACCGACATTTATTTGAGTATTTTTATCCTCGGTATTGATATTTTACCTTTGACCCTAGCCGGTGTAATGTTTTTTGGTTGTCTGTCTTCTCTGACTTTGCGCCCAATATTTGCCTTTGTATAAGTGTTCCACTGTCCTATTATGCGACGCTGGACCATTGACAACGTGACGTCATTTTACTGCACCCTACATGTTGTTTCGGTTCAACTTACGATTGCACTGTGATTTGACTGTCGATTGTTTGACTGGCCACTGGTAACGTTTATTCGTTGACTTGGTTCTGGTAGACAGAGATTTTGATCCCTTTCGTCAGGAGTATTCTTAATGATTCTCAAGTACTTAACGATTGTATTTGTTTAACCAGTTTTTACCGTATAGTAAGTATTTGTGCCCGGGAACTTTTGGAGCATATAGCTACCCAATGGCACTGTCGAGGTATTTTTACAATTTTGGTGTAACTTATTGTTGCTTTGATGGTACCACAGATTTCGTTACGAATCCGCCACTGACTTACTACAAGCCATATTTTGATAGTTTGATCCAACCTTTGACTGTTCTTCACTCGCGGAAGTTCAAAAGCTATACAGTGGACGGCAGGAATTAGTTAGATTCACGTTAGTTGGCACCAACTAGTTATTTTCCGCGTCCAGGCCAAGAATATTGAATTTTGCCTGCTACGTTACCCACTTCGAAGTCAACATTTCTGGGGCGTCAATATTTTATTGTGTTAGGTAATCCTTCAATCTGTTTTGCGTTATCGATTCCATTAAATTTGACCTAATGTAGGGATGAGTCACCGGCCTCTTTTTTTAACGATTGCTTCTATGACACCGTCTTGGAATACTGATGTCTTGTTTCCCAGCTTCCCAGAGGCGGATGAAACTTTGTGCACTTGTAAGTATGCAATTTATGCCACCTATTTGGAATGCAATCCCTACACCCTCTCTATTTTCCAGTTGGCTGGCTGAATCCTCAGCTGTTGGGGTACGGAATGTGCCGGGGTGAGGGATGCCAGTGCAGTGTCCCCCTCTTTACCCCAGTTTTTGGATCTAAGCAGTCTTCCGGAGATACAAGTGCCTCCAGCTTTTTCCTGTTTTCTTTGCAGCTTTTTGTTCTGAGACCTAGTAGGCTGCATGCGGACTCCAGACGGCTGGCAATTTCTGTTCGCCCGGAAAGCCCTTAATGTGGATGCAGCCATTCGAGAGGCCGGAAGGACCACTTTGATCAGCCCTGGTCTAGGGTCAACGTCCTTTACGGCATCCATGTAACGCTTCCGGTGATTATTCCCTTGAGGTACATAGTATTCTTGTGGAACTTCCACTCAAAAAGATCGTAGCGAATTCCTTCGGTGCCTTGGTTTTCTGGTATGCCTGATACTAGTAGGCTTCTTTCTCTGAAGTAGGCGTCACGATTATAACCCGAAAGATTCTTTAGAGCCCTTCTCTCAAAGTGCGGGATATCGGGTAGTATCCTTACTTCCCCTCCGGCTTTGAGCACGTGAAATGTTGAGGGTACATTTTCGACATCATCTGGATTGGAGAATGTGAGCCTTAGAAGACGGAGTACGCCCTTAGTCACTGGATCGGCACCACAAGAAAGCCTAGTTGCAGCTACTGGTTTTATATGGTTTAGCTCGAGTTCTGTACAAATGTACTCTCAAAGGACCCTATCATTCTTGTCCTGAAAGCCGTTTGGGAGATCAGGATTGTCAGTCAGGTTCACGATAGCCAGAGAGTCATGCCGGCCAGTGGTCTGCCTTGTCAACTGTTGACACCTCGGCCTTTCCTGTTGAAACTTCGACCTTTCTCCTGCTTTGCCCTCGTTTGTGGGCAGCACATTTGCTTGTCTGGCAAGTTCGTGGGCTACTTGCATGATCTGCCATCCGTTCAGCTTGCTTGGAAACCCAGGTTTAGCCTTCCTTCCAGATTACCTTGCCTGGGCCTGTTCCCGTGGTTCCTGCCTTCCCACACCCGGTGGGTTTGGCTGGAGTTGAGATTTGGCTGTTATTATTCCGTACAATGGAAACCCATTCTCTATCTTGAGCATCTTCGCTTGGTATGACCGTTTCGTTTTGCTCCTCGTCTGTTGATGACAAAATTCTGGTGAAGGAATGTTGGACAGTTGATGTTATTGCACTGCTGAGGTGCATCGTGTCCTCTATCAAACCGGTCCCTTACTTTTGTCGAGTGACTTGAGCACCTTTTACACTAGTCGGCTGTTGAACTCCGTGACCCTCGTGCTTAGGCACTGCTTCTGAGTTTTCCAGCCCCCTATTTTTATGGTCTACTGTCAGTCTGTTTTTAACTTCCGTTAACATGCCAATGGTGTTCCCAAGAACGTCACCGAGTTCGGATGTGCATAAGCGGCAGTGCCACTTGGGGTCGGGCTTGCTGAGTTTGATGTACCAAGTTCGCATTAAGTCTGTGCAAGTGCCATGGAACCACCAGTCACGTATGTCACATTGCATACTCACCTGAACAGGTTTACGACAGCCCTGCCTCTTGCTTATCGTTTGGCTACCATCGTCTTAAAGAGTATAAAAAAGGTAAAGAAAATCAACGGAAGAACTGAAAAAACTTAATAAAGAGTAGAAACCTTAGCGTAATCGGGTCCAACCAAAACTGGAACAGGTGTAAGGCCTCGTTATCCTAGTACAAACGGAAATGCAAGTAAACGTAGGGTAAATTTATCGAAATGGAAGCTCGAGAGAATACCCTTACCGAAAAGCGGATCTATCGTTGCGCTGTACGTAACAAAAGCCAAGTTGCTAAATCATGATAAGATTGTACTCCCTTTCAAAGAGTGCCACATTCTATACTTAGTTCAAGTATCGTGCTGACAGGAATAAAGAAAAGATTTTTGGTAAAATTAGGGGGAGGAAGTACGAAGAAAATAGGGGTCAAGAGAACCGGAAGCGAAGGGGAGGAGAAACCTGTGCAGGCTCAGGAGAGATAGCGGTGAAGAAAGAACTGTAGTAAACGGTGTGATCACGGAATCATGGGTAAGACAAGGAGCAAGTAATATTATGCGACGATTTGTGGGGATAACAATAACGCTATTATGATTGTGACCATGAAAACTGGAGATGAGACGTGTAACATGGAAGTGTAAGATTAGTTCAGATCTCGGTGATAGTTACAGTGCGAAAGGCCTAGCATCGGGTATGCTGTGATAAATCGTGCGGAACCAGCTGTACTAAACTAAACTGTATTCCACCCGAAGGAGAACAAATAGCGCATCTGTGAGTAGCCGTCCACCCTTTCCTTGAAGCTGTTGAATGATGGAGCAGTAGCGATTTGGGCAGGCAAGTGGCCCAGTGACCGCAACCTTGTCGAGAAAATGTGTGGACGCATTTGGGCTTTTGACTCGGGATGGCCGAATCAACAGCGCTACACAGGAGCTGGTTGCTTCTGCTAGATAGTCTGAACTAGTGTCTAGCTTTTTTGTTAGTATTGGCCTCAGGTCTTCCTCCATGCGATGTGGGAAGGATGCGTATCACAGAGGGTATAGTATACCTTTCTAGTCAAGGGTACAGAGAAGTATGATTCGGTATTTTTCCAGATGAAGTGCTGGTCCGCTGTTATTCACCAATTCTGCAAGCAATCTGAGATCACTTCACAATGCGCCTCATTCTGTTTCGAATTTAGCAGCATTCCATAACTTAACGGCGTCGTCACAGAGTGGGGTGGGGGAGGTGAGAATCGACGACAGCCATGACCTGACTCTCGGGTATGCAGAAAACAGCCACCCAAACTGTCCTCTGTGCTAGATGTTGGCATCGGATATTCCAGAGACTTGACATTCTCGGAACAAATAGCATATATCAGATCCAAGTCACGTAAACTGTGGGGGATGTATCATTCATGACTCCTAAAGAACTGAATCACGGGTTCTACTCTATAAAGTGTGCATTAGCCGACTATTAGAATGTTGCCCATTTGTTCTCAGTGGCCTTCGCGGAGGCAATAAAATGAAAGTCGAAGGGATACAACGTTAATTCATCTTCAGAACATTAGGGACTGACTCCAGTCTAGACTACACATCGAGATGTAACATGCTTAGGTTAGAACCGGTCTGGAA